AAGCTTCTGCTGCAGGGCTTGAGCTTCCGTATCTGTGCAAGGCTCCTGCTTCTCTGAAGAAAGAGGCCTGAAGCACCAGTTTCTCGCAGCTCTGGAGCTGCAGCAATCTCAAAAGGCTCCTGCTTCTCTGAAGAAAGAGGCCTGAAGCACCAGTTTCTCGCAGCTCTGGAGCTGCAGCAATCTCAAAAGGCACCTGCTTCTCTGAAGAAAGAGGCCTGAAGCAGCAGTTTCTGGCAGCTCTGGAGCTGCAGCAATCTCAAGAGGCACCTGCTTCTCTGAAGAAACAGGCCTGAAGCAACAGTTTCTCGCAGCTCTGGAGCTGCAGCAATCTGAAGAGGCACCTGCTTCTCTGAAGCAACAGGCCTGAAGCAACAGTTTCTCGCAGCTCTGGAGCTGCAGCAATCTCACAAGACAAGCAATCTCAAACGAGATCTGCTTCTCTAGAGCCTCGGAGCTCGAAAAGTCTTCTCTGCAAGTAAAATTTCTGATTCCTGGCCGGCCAAATTTTACTGTTGTCACCCCCTTATTATTTTCACCGGACCCCCCTATATAGACTTGTTTACACACATCGGCCCGAAAACCTCCCGTAATGGAAAGTAGTCTTCGGCTGAGCCCCTCTGGCCCGGCGAATATTACAGTTGCCACCCCATTTATAGATGTGAGGTTAACATTACCACATTTTGTTAGTTTGGCAAGCAAGTTCAACTGTACAGTCGTTCGATGCTGCTTGCGAGAACTCTGTACCGCAGTACCCAGAAAGCCGAAAAAGAGCTTTCTGCATGGCTGCTTGTTGCAGTCTTCATGCCTGCTGACCTCTTGAAGTTGCGATTTCAAGACTTTCTCCGTCAATTCGCCAAAGCCGCACATGTCCCAAACACTATTTTAGTGTTTGCTGCTGTAGTAGATTGTTCTCCTTGCGGCAGCTGCCATGCAGATGTATGCTCATATGTTTTGGAGCCGACCCGTTGATGTTCCTGCCGTGATAGCGCAAGAAGCCCAGCTCGTGTGGAACATGCTTCCCATTAGCATCCGTGCTGCTGAGCGCAACTACTTCGCGCAACCGTTGCTGGCCATTCAACAAACTCGCCAAGAGACCTTAGCATGGCTCCGAGTTCTGCTACAAGAAATCGAACTTCATGACGCGCAGCGCCAGGACATCAAAGTCTGGATGACAGTGCCTTATCTTTCACTACCATCTTCCTGCTCGGCGCAAGTGCTTGAGTTCTTGTTTCCATCTGTACTGCCCACGGCTACGACTTGTGTCGAGCTAGTCTTGCAGTCTCCCATTTTGATTCTAAGCGACTCGGACGATGATGATGTTGAGTTCGAGGACCTTCGGCATGACGAGAACTTCGAAGCTTTGAAGAGCCGTAGTGAACAAGAGCGCAAGCTCTTGGATCAGGTTCGACAGATGTGCAGTGAGTTCATGTGTTTAAACATTTGTGCGTGCGGCCACATCCATTTTCTTCGTCATCGTCAGACGATCTGGCCAGTTTCAGTACGCGAAACAGCTGTACTATGGTCAGTCTGAGTCTGAGTAGGGATGTGTACTGGGTCTGTGGGTGAGGCGCCGGCCTATCATTATGCAGAAAGATAGGCTATGCCCTGGTCGCGCTGACCATACTCTTTCAATACGTGTTTGGGGAGTTGGGGAGAAAGCTCAGGCGAAACGTGCCAAAAGAAAGATCTTGCTTGTCCCGGCGGTTTCACAAGAGTGCATGTATCGTTGCTGCAACGTACAAGTTCTGTCAGCCTACATGTGCCGTAACCTCCGTTCCTACAGCGGAGAGAATGCGCGAACTCTGGGGCAATGACGGAAGCACACCTGTCAAATGCTGGCAGCAGGGATTTATACGATTTGTTCCTTTGTATATGTAGGGACAGGGGGGGTTTGAATGAGAGGTCGACGGTCAGGACCATGAGGACTTCATGCACTGCGGCTCTGGAATACAAAGAGGGTACCCCCCTTTTTGCTCAAGGAGGCTTGTGAGGAACCACAAACAGGAAGAGGGGCCCCAACCAAACCCCGACCCTAACCCTAAACCCTATGCCCTAAACCCTACACCCTAAACCCTAACCCTAGATTTTCGATGCTTGGGCTCCCCCCAGTTTCGGATTTTGGTACCAGTAACATGGAGCCAGCATTGAAGGGGCAATTGGCTCTGCTGGACTCTCCACTGCGTTTTCTCTTACTTTCCCAACAACCACCTGCAGAGGCTTAGGATCTAAACGTGTAACGTGTAGGGTTTAGGGTTTAGGGTTTGGGGTTTGGGGTTTAGGGTTTAGGGTTTAGGGCTTAGGGCTTAGGGTTTAGGGTTTAGGGTCTAGGGTTTAGGGCTTAGAGTTCAGGGCATACTGCAGTCGAAATTTCGAGCGGCTGAGCCTATGAATGCGTCGGAGCCGCTGCCGCACGGATCTTTGCCGCTCGCTGCAGCTGCTTCCTTATCGTGGCACTAAGCAGAAGCCCCAAGACTACATCTCTAGGGGTAGGGTTTAGGGTTGAGGGTTGAGGGTTGAGGGTTGAGGGTTGAGGGTTGAGGGTTGAGGGTTGAGGGTTGAGGGTTGAGGGTTGAGGGGTACAAATTTGGGGAAACAGAGCCGCTTTTGGAGCCTGCAGGCATATCTGCAGGGAAGGTTTCGGGGGACCCTGCAGACGTGCGGAATGGTTTTAGGAGCTGCAAACTTCTTCCTGGAAATTCCTTGCAGGAGAAGCATAACCGAGTGTAAGGGAACCTGCCGACATAAAGAAGGGTTTAGGGAGCTGCAGAAGCTGCAAACTGCTTCCTTGGAGGCCCTCCCAGCTGTTGCCAAAAAGATTTGCAGGGAAGGTTGAACGGGAACCTGCAACCTTATAGAAGGGCTTAGGGGGCTGCGAACTGCTTCCTTGGAAGTGGCTTGTAGAGCGTGCGTGGGCAGCAGAGATTGTACAAGTTGTTCAGGTGATATTGCTAGTGAAGGCAGCAGGGATTTGTACGATTTGTTCCGGCAGCGTGCGTGGGCAGCAGAGATTGTACAAGTTGTTCCGGCGATATTGCTAGTGAAGGCAGCAAGGGTTTGTACGATTTGTTCCGGCAGTGTGGCCCTAAACCTTAACCCGAATTTATCCTAACCTGCTTCGGGCAGTGCGCGTGGGCAGCATTCATTTGTACGCGATTTGTTCCGGCATTGTGCGTCTGGGTCGGCTAGCTAAAGTTGACCATGACCGCAAAAACCAATAATCAACATGTCAACAATGTTGTAAGTCTAGCTAGCTATATTGATTTGTACGATTTGTTCCGGCAATGTTTGTGGACGGCAGCGACTTGTACGATTTGTTCCGGCATTGTGCGTCGGGGTCGGCTGGCTAAAGTTGAGAAGGGCCGCAGTATCCAGTAATCAAGATTTCAACAATGTTGCAACTCAAGCTAGCCATATTGATTTGTACGATTTATTCCGGCAATATTTGTGGACGGCAGTGACTTGTACGATTTGTTCCGGCATTTTGTTCCGGCAATGTTTGTGGACGACAGTGACTTGTACGATTTGTTCCGGCATTGTGTGTCTGTGTCTGCTGGCTAAAGTTGACAGTGACCGCAATAACTAGTAATCAAGGTTTCAGCAAAGCTGTAACCCAAGCTAGCCGCCTTGATTTGTACGATTTGTTCCGGTAATGTTTGTGACGGTAGTAATTTTTACGATATGTCAGATGAGATTTATAATTTCTTGATATATCTGGAAATCTCGAACACTGCATTCAAGCTCATTCAGCACCCGCAAATTTCGGAAATCAGTCTTTCAACTTGAAAGTTAGGGCTTAGGGTTGCTTAAAGGACCCAAGCAGCAAAACCATGCTCCCAATTGTACCTGTACGCTGTACAAATCATGCGGGCCAAACAAAAATCGTTCAGTTCATGCAGCGCCGCAAGGTTCGGAAATCAGTGTTTCAACTTCAAATTTAGGGTTTAGGGTCGCTCAAAAGACCCCAAACGGAAAAAATATACTCTCAATTGTACCTGTACACTACACAAAATATGCGCGGCAAATACAATCATGTTTACTTCATTCAACACCGCAAGTTTCGGAAATGAGTGCTTCAACTTGAAATTTAGGATTTAGGGTCGCTCAAAAGACCTCAAGCGGCAAAAACATGCTTCCAAGTGTGCCTGTACTTATACAAAACATGCGCGCCAAATACAATCATGTTTACTTCATTCAACACCGCAAGTTTTGGAAATGAGTGCTTCAACTTGAAATTTAGGGTTTAGGGTCGCTCAAAAGACCTCAAACGGCAAAAACATGCCCCAATTGTACCTGTACACTGTACAAAACGTGCGCGCCAAACACAATCATGTTTACTTCATTCAACACCGCAAGTTTCGGAAATGAGTGCTTCAACTTGAAATCTAGGGTTTGGGGTCGCTCAAAAGACCTCAAGCGTTCAAGAACATGCTTCCAAGTGTGCCTGTGCACTAGAAATTCTCTCAGTACCGCAAGTTTCGGAAATGAGTGCTTCAACTTGAAATTTAGGGTTTAGGGTCGCTCAAAAGACACCAAACGGCAAAAACATGCTCCCAATTGCACCTGTGCAATATACAAAACACGTGCGCCCAACACAATCATGCTTAATTCACTCAACACCGCAAGTTTCGGAAATGAGTGCTTCAACTTGAAAATAGGGCTTAGGGTCGCTCAAAAAACCCCAAACGGCAAAAACATGCTCCCAACTGTACCTGTGTACTCTACAACACATGCGGACAGTTGTCGTAGTTCATGATCGTGAAGCTTATAAACAAATTTGAAAACACGTTTATGCTGCTACCTGGCGCATAATGATGAAATCCATGTGTTCGTACTACATGCACAGAAGTAAAGGACAACATTCATGTATACCGTCGCTGTATAAACAAATGAAGTTTGTTGAGCGAGATTCATTCATAGGTCACGTTACGTGTTAATGTCAAAACATATTATGAAAAGATGTCTTGTGCTTACAACAATTTTAGGTATAGAGGCTATCTGAGATGGCATGGCGCAAATGTTCCTGCAATTTGTCCTGGTGGTGCAGTACTGATGAGTCTAAACGAAAGACGCTGGAACGTTGCAAAGCGAAGCACGTCGATGAAGCCAAGCTCGTGTTGCCTGAGACACCGGCCAAGCTTAGCAACGCACTCTTCCTCATATTGTCGCATGCCGACAACCATGGCGTGCATAACCCACTTCTCCAAGAATTAAAAGGTATGGGCGCTAACAAAGTCCATGTTATTTATGGATATCGATATGGCACTGACGAGCACATGGGCAAGAAGCTGCAGCCCAATGAGATCGTGCATTACTCTGTACGGCACCGATGGTTTACGAGGCTGCGCAAGCAGTTTCAAGTAAGTTTGTTTTTTTGGTATACTGTTTTTGTTTTATAGTACTTTCGTTCGTTTATATCCTACAAACGAATTTGGATAAGCATTTTGACCCTGAGATGCTATCAATTACTACAGCGCTATCGGTCTGACCAACGACATTCTGAAGTCGGATGGGTTTGGTTTTTAGAAGCAGACGCACGGTTTCAGCAAACTGCTGCTCAAGTTCAGGGCCTGATGTCATCACTACCAAAATGGAGCAACATCGGCTGGCCCGGATACAGAAATATCTGGTCAAAGGGAACCAAAGTTGAGTGGTATTACGGCATCGAGCAAGCGCTCAAAGGGTCCCAAGCCATTTTCTTCCGCAAGGACGGCTTGCGTCAAGCTTTTGCAGCTACGTGCGCTGGTACCCAATACAGACATTTCGACCTGATGCTGTCTGAAAGATTAGCAAGGAAATTTTGGTTTCCACGTACACCTGCAGTTCGTACTGCGTCACACCCATCCATTATATATGGCAAGGGTAAGAGGGTGGTGCGGCCAGGTACTGTTCTTCGTAGGCCTGCTGCAAAGACCAAGAAGCCAGTCAAGAAGCCTTCGATGAAAAATATCTACTGCAACTGCATCAAGCGATTCTGCATGAACTAGTTTCGAAAGCAATCGCGAGACGCATCCTTTATACCTCAAGTTCTATTAACTTGGATGCGCAAGTGTAATACTGCGCACTCCCTAATATGTTAGCTTGATGTGTATAATGCGATTGATTTGTTGAGGACAACCTCATCGATGGTGTTGCCTTGGAAGCATGTTTCTTTCTTGACGCAGTGAGTTAGCCTTACACCTTGCCAGGCAACGATAATTTGAACAAAGGCTCTGTGGATCATAGGAGGCTCTGTTGGCACATATATATATATACATATATATATATATATGTACGCATACATACATATACATATATATATATATATATGTATTTTTGCATTCGCAAATCTAGCCATTCGGGCTGAAGAGACAGGAAGATCCTCCTCTCCCCCTCCTCTCCCCTCCTCTCCACTCCTCTCCCCTCCTCTCCCCTCCTGTCCCCCCCTCTCCCTCTCTTCCCTCTCTCCCCTCCTCCCCTCCCCTCCTCTCGCCTCCTCTCCCCTCCTCCCCCTTGCCCCTTCAGCCCAGCTCTAAATCCCGATGGCCCAACGTGCTTGCGGCGGCTGCTTTTTGATGTATTTGGGAGACAAGTACTCGGGTTTTCGCGTGCAAGCGGGAGTATTTCATAGTTTTTTCGGGCTGGATTCGGCGTCAATTCATGTTGGACTCGGACTGGATTCTGCAAATAGGGCGGGGGATAGGGATCTCGCAAGGGGGAGGTAAGTTCATAGTGCGAGGTCAACGTTACAACAGAGAAGCTCAGGCTCAAGCAAAACTCCACACCCCCGAGCCACCGTCATAGTAGTGAGCGATAGGAGCCCCAACAGCGGGGCAAGAGCAATAGTCATAGGCAATTCTCGGCAGCTTTGGGAGGCAAGTATGAGCGCCAGTGATACGTGGGCGGCCGGGCTAGGTCCTTAGGGCTTCGCTGGTCATAGCCAGATTCAGGAGTCGAATCTAAAAGTCTACACTTTCAGATCGCAATCTGTATGCAGGGCTTTAGAGGCTTAAGGCTTCAGGATTTGGGGGTCGTGGGTGTAGACTTCAACCTCAGAACGTAAACCCGAAGCCTGAAGGCCTTAAATTCTAGAACCTTGAACCGCAGATCATGGCCCAAGGCGCGGCCCCAGCGCTTGGCCTGTGGTGTGGTTTTCTAGGGATTAGGGTTGAGGGCTTAGGGGGACTAAGCTTTGACAGGGTGTGTAAGTTAAGGGATTAAGGTTTTGGGTTTATGGTGCCCCCCCCCCTCCTTAAAGTTTAATTCTAAAGTTTAGGGTTTGGGGATGAAGGTTTTGTGGAGAGGGGGTAGGGGAGGGAGGGCTGGAGGGATACCGTGGGGGGGGGGGGGGGGGGTGGGACCAGTGAACCACGAGCCGGAATCATCGAAAAGTATACATGCATATAATATAGGTGCGTGGGCGTGAAGAGGTTGTAGGGGCCGCAGCGAGCGTTGGTCCTTTCCCGTGTGAAGGTCCGGCAGCGGAACTTGCAAAGCTGTCAAAGACAAGTGTGCAAATGTACCGTCTTTGACGGACGAGGGGACGGCGACCGCGTCAACTTCCAACCACTCAGCGGTGGGTGTTCTTGCTGAAGAGCACTGGGCCCAGCGTAGCGCGGGCTTTGAAGGGCATGGGCCCAATCCGGCCGTGCTTGCTAGTTTCTGACTGACAGGACTGTTGTCAGCCAGACGAGGCATCTGCGGCGCCAATGGATTATTGTCTCCGGCGTGTTTGGTGGGCAGGAGTTCCGACAAGACAGATGTTTGGCGACGGTGCCTTTGCGTTTTGACACTTGGGCAGTGGGTCCAATGTGTGCGAGTGTCCAGAGCGTCCATGTCCGCGCGAGGAGAATGTCCATGTGACCGATGCGCGCAAGTCCGCGCGATGAAAGCGTCCATGTTACCAATGCGTGCGAGTGGCTGCAGAATTTTGAATCATGCCTGTGCGATGAGAATGTTCATGTTGCCAAGGCGTGCAACTGGCCAGGCCATTTGGAAATGCGATTGCTGAGGCAGCGAGGGGGCCGCTCCCTCACGCGTCTGCTTGTCTCCGAATCAGTGCACGTGTAGATTCCCCCCTCGAATAGCTTCCTGAGCCCCGCGCACGATTTTCCTGGTTTCTGCGTTTCGTTCAGTGGATTAGTTTCGGGCTGCCTCTGCTTCGCCTTCCGGAAGCCGGCTCTCAGGGTCACGGCGGCGGCGCCGCGGTCCTTGAAGCGGCAGTCCGCCGGACCCTTGCCCGACGTGGCAGCTTTGAGCTGCGGGAGATTGCGCGTGCAACTTCTGCTTGATTTGTGTTCTTCTTCTGCTGTCGACGTGAGAGCCAAACAGGTGCGTTCCACTGCTGGTGTGCGCGCCGAGTCGGAGCTGCCTCGTCTGCTGGCGGTGTTTTGGCGAGTGGAAGGCTGTGACTGGGCGCGGGGAGGCCTTTTCGACCGGACTTGGTCCGGAAACCTTGCGACGTCAGTCACTTTGAACCTGTAAATTGAAGTGCATCTTCAAGGCCAAAAACAACTGCATTGTGTATTTTGCCAACATGTCATTCTGAATTTTCAGTTATATTGTCTAGTCTAGTCTACACCTGCCAGAGCTGCGCAGAGCCTGGTCTTCAAACAAGGCACCCAAAACCCAGCTGCTGCAAATTGATCCCGGAAAGTTTTCCCAGCCAAGAAAGTGTTGGGGCAAAGTCTTTGCGCGCGGCCTCTTGCGCTGCTTCATATTCAAGAGATCAAGAACCTCTGCTCACAACGGTCAACGCGCGAAAGTTGCGAAAGTGTATCTCCTTGAGCAAAAACACGGTGCCGGCGCCTGTGTGCATCTATGCTTTGTTTGTGGGTTTAGGCATTCCAGTTGGGGTGTTGAAGGTTGGGGTGTAGGCTCTGAGTGTAGACTCTAAGGTCTGCCTTTGGACTTTTGTGTATTCATCTCGTCGAAATTTTCTAATGTACAATAATATGCTATATAAGGGGGTGGATGGGAGGCTCTGTGTTCGGGTTTTTGGCCCTAAACCATAAACCCTAACCCTAAACCCGAAATCCGAAACCTTAAACCCTGATTCTCGCTCCCGAAGCCCTACCCTCTAAACCCTGAAATGCCAGGACCAGAGTTGGCCCTTATTCCCCCTTTTTACGGTGTAGGTTCCCTAAGAAGCCTCTTTGAACGAAAAAGGGCATTCATTTTATTCCGGGAATGGGCTCCTTGGTCCATTGCAAGCTGCCCATACGCAGCCATTCTGAAGAATAGGCCTCCATACGACATTATGAACCACCGAAAAAACAAGCTAAATCCTAACCTCCGCCCCGCCCTCCCATGGCAACCCAAATCTCCCAAGCCGGAAGCCGTAAGCCGTAAGACCCTAAGCCCTAAGCCTGAAACCTTAATCCTTAAACCCTAAACCCTACACCCTAAACCCTAAACCCTAAACCTTAGACCAAACCCTCCGAATGCCGAGGTAGGGGGACTGGGCATGGGTCTGGTGTTGGAGCTCTTCGGGCGCCCGGGATGGATCTGGGACCTTGGGTTTAGGGTTTAGGGTTTAGGCTAGGGTAAAGGGTTTCAGGTTTAAGGTTTAGGGTTTAGAGCTTCAGGCTTCGGCAGCCTTAGAAAGCCTTCAGAACTCTAAACGTTCTGCAAGCCTAGGACCTAAGCCCTGAGCTGTTGGTTTGCCCCCGGCGCTTGCAATCACATGTTCCACCTTAAGTCCTGAAACCTCAAACCCTTAGCGCCCTCGACCTAGGGTGACAGATGGCGTATGTACCCCTCCCTTCCCCAAACTAGTTTTTGAGGTTTAGGCGTTAGGGTGGTGCCCATCCCCCTTTCTGTAGATGAGATCCCAAAGCCCTAAACCTGACTAGCCAAAATTGGCTGCCCCCTTGTTTATCCCAGGTTACTGGGGAACCCAGTTCTCTGAAGGGCTTTCGGGGTTTTGGTTAAGAATCCAACGGCTCCGTAAGGAAAGTCCTCCCAGAGTCGTACGGCATCCGGGTGCCACATGGAAGGCAGCTTGCTTCAAGGTTTGAGAGCCAGGGTCCGCTAACTCCCTAACCCTATGGCTTATGCAGGGTTTAGGGTTTAGGGTTTAGGGTTTAGGGTTTAGGGTTTAGGGTTTAGGGTTTGGGGTTTGGGGTTTGGGGTTTAGGGTTTAGGGATTATATCTTAGGGTTTAGGGTTTAGCTGGTTTACGCGTCCGCGTAATCGATCCCCCCCCACACCCCCCACAATGGTATCCCCGCCCCCCCCCAAGATTATCCCCTTCAAGGGTATCCCCCCCCCCGCCCCCCCCAAACTCAGCCCGTTAACCCTAAAAACACTTAACCTAAACCCCAAACCTGAACCTAAGCCCTAAAACCTAAACCCGCCAATGGACCACAGGGGGGAGAAGGGTAAACCCGAAACCTTAACCGCTTTAACCCTGAACCGTAAACCGAGCACGAACCACAGGGGGGAGAGGGCAAACCATGAACCTACCATTACCCCACGCCTTGAACCGTAAACTCTAAACTCGCCGTAAACCACTGGACCAAAGGGGTCAGAGTGAAACTCCTGAACTCTACGGCCTAACCCTAAGCCCTAAACCCATGAACCACAGACCATGAACCACAGGCAGGGGGCGGAACCCAAAACCCACCATGAACCACAGGGGGGGGGGATTACCATGGGGGCGGGGTGCGGCTATGCTGGCTCAGAAAGGGTACAAAGTCACAAAGGCACTGGGGCCAGAGCAGAACTTCTGGGGTGTGAAATCAAATCCTAAACCTCAATCCCTAAACCGAAACCCGGCTACACCCTAAACC